GAAGCGTAATGATTCTCGAAGCCCAGGAAATGCAGTTGTTAGCGAGAGGAGAGCCTGGGATAGAGCTCAGCATGACATCGACGATGCTCTCGGAGACGATGATGCGGAGCGAGTGATCACGTGAGTATTTGTGTACAGAATATTGGTTTACCACGGACTATATCTGCTATGATACCCCTTTGATTGTTGGTATCTGCGATAATGATCGAAACTTCTTCGTAGGAGCCTGTCAGACATTTGAACTGAATATGATTTCCTCTTAACACAAACCGTGCATTCCTTCTGAGAAGTGGCATTTGGGAGTTAAAGTTAATCATGGGAATGAATGACGTTTTCAAGAAATGATGGCTTCATATTTGTGAAATTGTTTTCGCTAAGGCTCGTTTGTATGACCAAGAATATTGCTTTTGCCCTCAGCCATTTCAGGCATTTTCCTGGCTGAAAAGTCACAAGATTAAACTGAAAAATTTTCCGGCGAATTTTGATATTCAGTTCTTTGATTTTCAATTAGTATCGTGTAGGATGTATGTAGAAAAGATTGGAAGTATGCCTTCACGGTCGCTTGTTGTGGGAAGTCTTCACGTTCATTCCTTCCTTCTGTTCTATTCTCATTGTTCTAGATGTTTGTGGTTTATTTGGGTCTTTAAACAAAAGATTTTCATTTGCAGTGGAAAGAAGCGAAAACCACGAAGGAAACGTCCCCCAAGCAGTTCAGTGGCTACGGATGAAGAAGGAGTGCCGCATCTGAAGAGTTACCGCAAACTGAAAAGTCCGAAAACAGCATCCTCTTCAAGTACACGGGTATGATTTGTATTCTTCGTTTTCTTCTTGATGATTAACTTCATAGCCGGCGCCTCATAGAATCCTGATATTTGACTGTCAGAGTTAAGATTGTTTTAGCCCTGTGAAAGCCAAAAGCGTATCAGAAAGCTAGTGATAAGCCGTCGTTATCATTATTATTTGTAGCTTTCCCAGGCTGCCCAAAAGGTGTTACGTTATCGCATCTTTCAAAATTAATATCAGTTATTTCTCAAAGAAGCTGTTTCGCCAACTATTCGCTCTAACATGATCTGGAGCGAGAAATGAAATATTTCGTACGACAAAGATAAACTTTGAAAAACTGCTAGGCAGAACTGTCTAAGAAAACTTGAATTTGAAATTCGTTTGAATCATTTTATCTGTCTCTCTACTTCACGATTTCAAGCGTTAATTTTGAATTTCACGCTTAATTATGGCAAGATATGGATGGCTAGATTTGACCCATTACAGCTTTTAAGGACTACCTGGTAATTTATTATTTCAGGACCGTGACAAGAAGCGCGGGAATTCTGTGGACTCGGCCTCGAATCCGTCAAGCGAGGAGGAATCCGAGATTGACATGAACGAAACACGTAGACGTATGCACGCTATGCTTGATGACGCTTTCTCCCTATTAGGACCACAGTCCGCGAAGAAACCTGAAAAAATACCCGAGGGACATCCTTCGCATCCCGCCCCCCATTCCACACAGGTATATTCCTCGACCCCAGCTCGTCCAGCTGTTATTCCAAGGTGAGTTGTTTTAATGGAAAGTCAGCTGTCTCGTTTTATGATTTTTACCTAGTCTCTTTGTCTAAGAACTTAATATGTGCTGCCGTTGCACAAAAATTGTAGGATCTTATGTCTTTTCGTCCTTAAATGGAGTTGCCACACAGTCTGCTAATTTGGAAAAACGAGCACAGATTTTTCAAGTTTGGCATTTCCAACCCATTTTAATCTTTCTCACTATTATCATGCTTGTTCCGCCGAAGTTTGTCAATTTTCTTTTTCATTATGCCATGATAACGGTCTGACATTTTGGAGCCTTCTTAATGTAGAGGAGAGTTACTGTACACATCTTAGAATATGAATCCAAGTATGGTGACATAGCTCCCTCAAAATCGGCCAAAGATCATAGATTACTTATTAGATTTAACTTGTTAACGATGTTATATTTAAACCTTCATGTACAGATACACCGGAGGGCAGCCTGCTTTGCCAGAGCCACCCCCAGCCCACGGTCGAGCCACAGAACCGACACCTGGACAACGAAAGCGCGTTCAGCCAACAATGCCTGGTTACCCAGTAGGTATGCCTCAGGCGCCTCTTGGCATGCCAGGTTACCCAGGCCGCCCTCCTGTACGACCGGTTGTGACACGTGATCCGATAGTAGTCTGGGACCCTGCAGACAGACAACGGTGAGCTCTTTTGTTTATTTGAATTAATATCATACGTTCCTGATTTTTTAATTGAAAGGGGGTGTGATCGCAATAAAGTCATAGTCATTCTGAGTGCTTGGTGATCTTTCTAATCTGCAGAATTTTGAACCAGCGGGCTCCGCCTCCGACGTATGCGTACACAGACCCTAGTGGACAAAATGTCTACATAACACCAGTGCAACAGCAACGAAGTGATATGGTAAGGAACAAACAAGAAAATAAATTTGCTTAAATTGAAACTGGTGGGACACAGACGCCATAGCCGTTTGGCAATTTCTGACAGAAAAGATTCCATAGGATTCTACAATTACTCAGCATAAACAGAACAAATTTGATGAGCATGTGAATTCGTTCCGTGCAACATTTGAAAGCTAGCTTGGCTTGTATCAGTATAGAAAAATCCTCTTACGGAGACTTAACAACCATTGTTAGCTTTGGCCGAGACGTCTCAAGTATGAAAGTTTCCCCTGAGTCAGTGGTCGGCAAGTTTACTAGAAAATTGGAAACTGCTGACTAACTATGGCAAATAGAATGACCACAGGGCTTGGAACTGAACCAATGCTGTGCAGCAATGTCATTTATGTTTCCCTATCGAAGCTTTCTTTATGTTCAATTTGTGAATGACGTTTTTTTTCTTTTTACATCAGGGTGGTCTTGTATGGAGTCCTTACGCCGCTGAAGACTCAATGGATGCTCTTTATCCTGATTTGGCTCAAGTAAGTTAGAGTTTAAAGGAACACTGCCAGTATCTGGGCAACTGCGCAACTTCTTGTTATTTTTTAACTGTTGCTGGGTTAGGGGAGGGGTGGGCGTGTAATTTCTCACATACTGAAATTGATCGGTTGATCAGTAGAAAAGTGTTATTAAACCACAGTAAATTCAAAGAGTCAGAGTAATTATTTCGTGATCTTTTTTTATTAATCAGTTATTCTTCTCTTTTGATGCTTTAGGCAAGTTATCCAGGCGCGCTAGGTACCAGTCCTCCTAAGGACACAAGTTTCCTGTCTCATCTTCAGGGCATGCCACCTCACGACACCGTACTCAACATGTCCGCGAACGGTACTTTTAACCAGCGGGAATCTACACTCGGACAGTCTCCACAACCTTTAATTAAATCAATAAAAGACGAACTTTTTAGATTGTCCCAAGGGGCCTCTAGAAAAACACCCATTACAGAGCTTTAGCATTGATATACGATTTTTTACCCGAGGTATTTTAATGATCACTGAATATTTTATATTGAGGAGAAGCAGTGAGGATATTTGTCAAGCAGCTGATTCAAAACATTTTACATTAGAACAGTTTAAATCCGTTAAATTGAGTTAACTCACTCAAGTTTACCTACGTTTTCTTTATTACATTTACAACAGAAAACATGATTGTAGATATATTTAATAGTGGAATGTCATTTAATAGTATTACTGAGAAAGAAAATGGTGTAAATAATTCCATTGGATTGGGACTGGCTTCCCTTTTTGCCAATGGCCACTTCTTGAGCACAATAAAACTATTTTTGTGGCGTTCGGCGCCGAGAGGAAGTAAATTTTCTTTGTTGTGACCAAGTTGAGAAAGATTTGAAAGGAAGTACTTATCAGAGCCGTTTTAAATTGAGTGTAAAAAGTGATCTTGGATCGCATTGATCATGCTTTGATGCAGTCTGTGATTGGTCCTGAAAACTTATGCCACCCTTTCGACCGATCGGATGCAAAACTAAACCAATCACCACTTTGCCATTAGCGCATTCCCGCGCTTAAAAGAGGTTGTTTGTTTATACTATGAGTTTCTATTTTCCTCTTGTGGTTTCCCCCTTACTATGATTGGCCTCTTGTGGTGTGTCTCTTTGTTATGATTGGCCACTGTGGTTACTCTGCTTTGGTTTATGATGCAATTAAAATACGCTCCATCGTCCAGCAATGCCGACTGAATTCTTGAACTGCTCTACATGGCATGAAAGAAAGTTTCTATCCCCTTTTCATCGCGTGACCAGACTTTCAAAGCACCATTTTAAAGAAAACACCAGCCCCAAGGAAGACCAATAATACAAGTCGAAATATTGGCCAATTAAAAGTTCCCTAGCCGGCCTTTGTGACAGCCCTCTAATGTTTAAACTGATCAAATCTACATGATGAGATCTGTCTCAGAGGTAATGAGGTGATTGGTCATAGTTCAACCAATCGCAACCTAACCACTGGTGTTCCCTCTCGCTTTATGGAGTTTGCCTCTTTCAGAACAATGAGTTCTTATCGGCTACATGTAATATTTTTCCTTCCTCTGATTGCCTGTTGTGATTACTTTCGTTTTACGACACTGATGGCAATGCCTTCTTGTTATTGTGGCTAGGTGGCACTACAGCACGAAATATAAATTCATATGAATACCCATGTTAGTTTCCACTTGAAATGTAATTGATTTTCCATCAAAAAGACACATCCAGCATGTGCTATTCAATAAAATGAAGATATCGATTCAAAAGAATATAATTAAAGGCATTTCAACTTACGGTAAGTTTCGATACAATTCTCCGCACACTCCCCCTCTCTTACTCCTTCCCACCCCCAGGTTGGAAGCCTTGGATCTAGTATAAGGTATGAGTGATGATACTAAGAGCAATATTAGGTTCAGCGTAAGCCATGAATTTTGAGAAGTTACCAAACGAGAGGTTCAAATCGGTCATAGATAGAAATATAAATGTTCAGTTACCATGAACTGTTTTCTTAACAATGAGGCTCCCGTATATCACCGAAAAAAACTGCCACTCCAAAATGAATGCAACGAAACAACGTGCTTTATTGTCTTGAAGGAAATGTTTACAACCATTTGTTTTATATTTCCATCCGAAAACAATAGTTTAAGAATAAAAAAATTAAAAACACTTATTAGGCGCTAAGCTATGAAGTCTAAAGTTAAAAATTTTCATTGATTATACAATGTACCCGTGATGTCCGAAAGTATTGATATTAATATTAAATTCAAAAGAGACGTTCACACTCATCTAACTACATTCATTACCATCGTCTAATATAAGCAGTAAAAACATGCACATCACGAACAGATTCAAAGAAACTTCATGCGCGGCTAAAAGAAATGAAAAATGTGCTTTAAACTTTTAGAAGCAGTTTGTGAAGCTGCTGTTTCTCGGAAAGTTGTTGCCTAAAGTGACCTCAAGACTTTATTGCTTTCCAAAGTATAGGGCTGAAAGGTAGGCGGCCAACAAAGCGATGACCTTAGGTGCAAGGAACTCAACTCCAGCGGAGGGAGCTTCTGTCGAGCTGTCATTTCCACTTGGTTTGGTCGTGGTTGGCGGTGCTTTCGTGGGAAAATCCTTGGGCATATTACAATGGTCTTCCTGACAGCATTTTACTGAACAGGTAATATTCAGTGGCTCGCCTTCCTTTACAATCGCATTGCATACGGACTCACTGTAGGAGGTACAGTTTGAATCAGCAGGCTGAGGAGAGAAACGAAATGAAGTGTTTTAACACACAAGATCCAATAAGTAAAAAGCCCTTTGATCTGCTATGCACTGTCTTTCAACATTTACAATTGTGTAATTTTTTTTAGCGATGACGCCTCGCATGTATATTTTTGTTTCTTGTTTAAATAACAATTTTTCTTATAAGATATTTACGACGTACCTTTAACACATTTGGAGATCAATCATCCGTTTTTACCGGTAAAACTTCTATTCAGAGGCTGTTTAGACTTAAAGTTATTCCGTTATGTAAAAGCAACAATATTCACGAGTAGAAGCTAACGGGTGGAAATAGGTTAATGAATGGAAGGAGCTGAAAAGATCGATTTAAAAGTAGCACAACAATTCATGACACATTATTTTGTACTTACAACACATCCAGCGGAATAAGCCTTTAATTCATTGTCCACCATGATCATAACTGTGGTACAGTTTGGTGCTCCAGTGCAGTTTTCTGGCGTGTAAGAAGTATTCATCATGCATAGTTCATTTGAATCCCTATAGGGCGCCTCGGCTGTGCAGTTGTAACACATTAACCCAAATGCTAAAAGAAGGAAAAAATTATAAGTTATAATTCAGTTGAGGACTACCAGTTAATCGCAAAACTGGTTAGAATAGATTTTCTAAGCCCTTAAATTCCTTTCTTTTCAAAGTAAGGTCGTTTCTTCAAGGTCTTCTCGTGCGCAAAATAAGATAAATTAATAAGCATTTCACAGTCTCACTGAAACTCTTTAATCTCTATAAATTATAAGACCTGTCGCCTCTTCTCTCAATTTTGATAAATTATCCTAGAAAACAGGTGTGAACAATTTATGAGTAAATCAGGTTGGCATCGAATATATCGATTTTAAATTTCGGTAATTTGTCACCGTCTACATTTCAGAAACTTGCAGTCTTTTCAACGAAAAAAATTTTTCCTCCGACATGGCGAGGGTTGCTTGGCGTTGCGTCATATTTATCGTCGATAGCCCTAAGGACGATGGTTCTCGACCAACGAGCGCACGCGAATTTTGAGAGCTATGTCAGTGGGTGTAAATGAGGGAAACAGACCAGAACCAAGGAACAAAAGGATAAAGCTGTAATTAAACACAGCATTCGAATTCTTATTGAAAAATCCACGCCAATATCACGACGGTAAGTTACCGTGAGAAATGATATTTCTTAATTAAAAATAGACCGAAGACAATCTTGGTATAGGTTCATTGTGCCACAACTCTCTGAAAACAATCGCTAGCTCAGAGTTTTCAGGTTTGTTAGGACTTTCATCCATTAAAAATATCGCGTGAGTGGAACCAACCAGGCTTGTCCACAGAAAGGTGCGAGTGACTATTTGTACCCATAAGCGGTTTTAAACTGATCATCGAAGGGTAACGAGAAAATAGCCGACGGAAACAGTCGAGAAATTTCTGTATAACACACGCCTAAATGCATTAAAGAGCTGCTCCAACTCAGAAATAATAAATACAAACTGAGAGGAACTGAAATCTTAAAGCTGCCGAAGACCAACACATAGACTTACGGCTAAGTATATTACACCGAAATTATCATCTGTGCGATACCTGAAAACTAGCTTGCGACTGTTTGGTTTCTGTAGATTAGTGTATATTCATGTCAGCATGTTATGCTGTTATTTTATGTAAAAACGCCGCAGACTCATGGAATAAATTTCTTTAAGAGAGTTATTCATACAAGCGAAACACACCCGCGTGGTCTGTGCCAAATGCTCTGTTTTGCAGAGAGTAGGAAATGAATCTATGTCAAGGTGTGCATTAGTAGTTAACGAACGAGAGCTGGAGATAACCGATTCCGATCGGTTCATTCGCACGAAATCATTCGTTCAAACGACAGACTTCTAGCCATGAATTTGGTGATGTCCACTACTCAGTGATTGCAATTCAACGCCGAATTTCAAAGTTCCCCAGACGAAAAGTTCTGAGTAAAGTAAGAGAACTAAATATCAATGCCTTCTTTGCCGTGGAAGCAAGGTTATCATAAAACCAAGCCGAGCAGAAGTTTCAAGTGTGACGCAGCCTCTACACATGACTGAGATTCAAACGGCTAAACTTTCGTTTTGTGTTAAAGAATCGTCAGAAATTCTTGATTAAAAGGACTAGAGAAGGAAAAATAAGAAAATATGGAGGTATTTCAATCGGAAAGACACAAAGAAGGAAAGTAAACTTTGAACTGATCTAACATTCCAAATTGCGCCCCTATTTTGCAATTTTGCGCTCAAGGAACCGCTCGGGCTTTTTCATCAAAAATGCTCAATGTTTAAAAGGTGAAAGTAAAAATGAACTAAAATATAAAACCTTGAGATTACTTACCACCAGGCAACGCGAAAATGGCGAGGGTAGCACCGACAAATATGATCTTGTTCATCATGGTTGAGATCTTGAGTTAATGGTTCAAACTGACTCGAGGCAGCGCCTAGTTGAGGGACTGATTTTAGTTGACGGTAGCGCCAGCTTATGCTAATATACTTGTGTTATATTCATGAGTGAGCTACGCCTTTTTTTTCTAAATAAGGCATTAGCCCGCAGCAGGTTTCGGAGGGAGAGCGAATATAATTGAAGCTCTGCAAATAATTGACAGCAGCTGGAACCTTCTCTGCATGACAATTGCTACATGAATAGAAAAATAGCCGTGTGCTCGATTGAATATTCAGTGTTTTATCATAAAAGGTTTTGTCGCTTTCGTAATGTTAGCTAGGCCCAAAGGCCATATTTTGCATATAACCGCACGCTAGCTGTCCTTCGCATTAAATTAAATACTATGGATGCATCTTAATTGTTTGTCAATAATACCTCGGTATCGATATGGTTGTGCCCATTTTAAACGACTGAGGACAGGTCGGTGCTTGTTATAATTCTTGCATCGTTATCCGCTGCTTCTTCGCAGCAAGACTCCCATGTGAAGAAGGCAGTTTCATTTCCAATGATGAATATTTCATGGTAATCATTTCAATTACAGTTGAACCCCGTCAACTTAAATTACCATGGGAACGTAAAACAGTGCAAGATAACGGAGAGTTCGTGTTGGTGGATAGCAAATATCTCAAGTTAGGGAAGATCATTTAGTTCACATTCAAAGAAAGTTCGAATGAATCTGCCAAGTTCACTGTGTAAATGAAAACAGGTGAATTTTTAGAGTTTGGGTTACAACACAACTCTATCGAATGCAAATATAAACAGTCTCTGCATATCAGCATCTGTATAGAGAACTTTGAACCCCTTATGTGAAGATGACTGTTAGGTGAAATTAAAAGTGCAAAATATCAGCAAGTAAAGTGAAGGGGGTACTCTGCTAACCACTAATCGGGTCCAATAAAACGTTGAGCATTCTAACGCCCGTAGCCACGGAAGCCAAAATATGTCGTGTTTATTCATATAGGCTGAAATGTTGTTAATACAAAGAATGGGTACCACTCTACATTGAAAATACAAATAGTAAAATTTATTTGCGCTTTCACTTTCGAATTCGTTCTAAATGGAGGGTCCAGTTGTTAAAGAGAGATTAATGATCAGTTTGTTTGAAAACGTCAAGGCTTAAATAAAGCCCTGTGAATTCACTAATTCGTTCTAATCCTTGATTCAACATGGATTAGATCTCATATTCGCAACGAGCGCAAATATTTTCAAAATGTTGAAGCAGTGGCATAAAAAAGAGAGGCAAAGCTAATTTCCTGTCGTTACGTTTGAATATGGAAGCTCTATGGATTCTCTCTGATACCGTTAAGTTCTTCTTTTGCTAACTTCGGCTTCAATACTACGTACACCAAGATTAAATTGAAGAGTAAGCTTTTACTTTAACCAGCTCATATAAAGTTGATGTTCTAAAAAAAAGATGATTAACTAAACGGCACTTCACTTTCAGGAAATTCTAAATTCTTCAGATCTCAGTATTAAAATATTCCTGCCTGCAATTAGAGCCGTACTGACTGTTAAAAGTTTCTAATAATTTCAGCTAAGAATTCGATGCTAAATCAACTAGTAATTTTTTTACTTTATACATCACCTTCTTCTTTTCGCCTGCAAGTTTTGCAGCGTGTTCACATTGCAAGGAGAAATTATCTATTGGTCTCAATGAAAATGTGATATAACTGACAGTTAATAGCAAACCATTTATATTGGTTGCATAATTATTCAAGTTCAAGAACGCGCGTTGATTAAAACGGCAAATAAGATTCAGAGAATTTGAGATAAAAATCCTCGAAATTTATAAGCAGCGTAAATGTGTTTGTTAACACATCTTGACGAGAGGTTATGAAAATACTGTTCACGGAAAGAACAATGCTCCCCCGATGATTCATTCCATGTGGTTGAATTTTTCAGTTTCAGCTCACTTGTGTTACTTAAGGAGTACATTTACACAACAATGAGTGAGAGCACCTCAACCGAAACGCATCGGTAGAAGCTATTAGAGCTCCCTCGTGCAAGAAATTACCGGTATTCTAAATCATATCTTTTTTTTAAGAAAATAGCCTCTGGGCACTATGCTCCACCTACAACGTTTCAGTTCAAAGGTTCCTCTCAAAGTTCATTGAAACACGTGAATTCACCTTTGTCATCGAAGAAAATGGACTTTGCCTGCATATTCCAAAACATACGAGTCACATTTGATTTTATTAACACAAAAGCCCCTATAATGAATTGTACACACTTAGTGAAGGTATCATACGTGAGCAAACGTGATTATCCAGCCTAAGCGATCCGTATAAAACGGAAATAGATTGATATGAAAAAAAAAGAAACGTGGGTGATGCAATAATGATGGCCCGAGTGAAAGCTTGTTGTTATTTTGCATCTGGATGCTTTCCGTGTTCCAAATTTTTTTGCCTTTGTTTCAAAGTTATTTTTATAGATGACGGTAACCAAATAAAAAAAGAAAAAAAAAATCAGGAATGACTATTACTTTAACTGCAATGTGGTTACAACGGTGCTGCTCGTACTATAGGTTTGTGGTACGGACTGTCAAGAGTTATTTTTGACGAGAAATATGCCACTGACTAACAATCTATCAGCTTCTTAAAGTTTACCACGTGCATAGCAGGTGAACTTTGGAATTGGGCAAGTGAATGAAAATTACATAACTATTCCATGCCTTCTATATTTGGAGTCGAGTGCGTGTTGGTTCTTTTACAACACCTCACTCTCCAGAAATGTTTCCCAAAATGTTATGTGTCTTCGGAGTGTCTTCAGGTAATCCTGTCTTCTAACTATTTCACATCGAACTGCGGTGACGTGCGCTTCAAAGCTCACAGTTCTGATATGCTTGAGAGTGACCCATAATTTAAATAGCAGAGCTTAATAATATTATCACATATTGCTTATTTCTTAACGATATTTGCGAGTACTAATTTACACAATTTTTGTGATTTCAAAACTTTGTGGAATTTGATACACGCGAAGAAAAGAGTGTGCAAAGTTCATACACGCGAAATGTAATACTATACTGCACGAGATTATAATCTATTGAATATTGTTTAACAGAACAATTATGGTAATTTTAAAAAAAGTTCCGGCCGAGTGAAATCCGCGTGTTTTGAAATTGTTGGATCCAAACCCCTCTCGCTCGAACCTAGGGTGCTTGCTCAAGGGGCGACTTCGAACCATCATATCATCGAGCTGGAGAGGTACTTGTCGAAAACGAGTTTACCGTGTGAAGGTGAGAGTGATCTTCGTAGTAACAAATATATGATTTTCAAATATTCACAGTCGTTCAGTTAATTAACTGCGTGTCTATTTACTCCTGAAGTTATTCAAAAAAACGTTAACTTCTTAATTCTATCGCCAAAACCTTTTATAAACCTGGGCGAGAGAACAAACTAGATAAAGAGCACGTGGAAGTTAACATCAACAATATCCAGATCAAGATTTCGTGTATTTTATATTATTATCTTTGTTAGATGCTGTCCAATAAAAACTTCCAAAAGATTGTTCAGTCTTTCAGAGTCGTGAAATGCTGTAGTCTTGCGTTGGCACAAATGTTGAGTTCTGAAATAATAGTAAAATAATCGACCTAATTTACTTGAACACATTTGTTCCTTATTCATCCCCACGCGGGTTGCGGATTTGTGGATGTGTTACTCTGAGTATGCTCCTTCCCCTGACTGATACAACCGTAGCGCTTCAATGGCGAAGAAGCAAAATGATGGCCACAAACTGGAATTCGGTTTCGCATCGGACCAACTTTTGCAGTAGAAGACTGTTACAGGTACATATAATGGTACGCAGGCAAGGTGTGTATTTATTAAAGAGATCAACTAATGATTTTTTTTTTGTTTTCATTTTCTAATTCATTCGATTAAACACCTGTGACAGCTTGAGTTCCAATATATGCTTGTATTTTAAGAAACAATTTTATTCAATATTTCTGCTAAATTCGTACGCCCTTAAAATTAATATTGAGGCATGGAATTCGAAGAGCCTCAGCCGATGTCGGCCGAACCGAAGCACTAATTTTTCTGTTGTTTAAAAGCTATCAAACGGCAATTTCCGAAGTAATTAAATCCAAATGATAAGCCAGTATTTTTTGGAGATTAACAAGAAGCATTCAGTACCCTTACCTGGCATTGGTAACTCGATGCAGAAGAGCAAATAAATTATACAATGTCACATTGAAATGAAGCGCCGAAACAATATCGTTGATATCAATGCTTTCTCATGCTACAAAATGTGCACAACACTGACCTACCAAATAAATGCCAAATTGTTTATTCACTTGGTACATAGCTTAGTCGCTGTTTCTAAAATTGTCATTAATGTTAAGATAATATAATAATTGAATAATGTTAAATTCTTGCATTACTCTTGGATAAATTTAGAGTGTTTTTTTAGTTAAAATTTTCACAAAATTAAGAGCTCAGTCATTAGATCATAGCTCTATATTAATAACAATTAAACAAAAGAAATAATGAACATATAACCAAAATCTAAATCTGTGTATTTGCATGCATGAACATAATAATAATATTTCCTTTTTTAATCATTCTTTGGTTCTGCCGAAAAAAGCCGAAAAATACACCTGAACTATGTTATGTATGTATGTTTTTAGTCATCTTTGTTTGTGATCTGAATACATCAACCATTTATGGTATACGCCTATGATAATTCCTAAGTAATGAATAATATTAATGATATAGATGTTGATAATTACAACTTTTTTAAATTCTGATGGTAATAGTAATAGAGACAGCAATAATAATAATAATATTAATAATAATATGGAGAATACCTAGATATCAATATTTATTTGACATTTTAATACTAATGATTACAATAGTAACACTTCGATTCTGTATTAATTTGGAAAAAACACACCAAATACTCAATAATAATTATAATTATGAAAATATTAGTTATTTAGAATATATAAATACAATAATTATAATGAGATGACAATAATGATGATGATAATGCCAGTGATTATAATAGTGCCTGTGGTATTTTTTCTGATGGCAAGGGTTTTCAAACTGGCTTTCGATTCAAGGAGCTGTTAATAGATACAGTCACTACTTTATTTCAATGTAAAATTTTAGTTGTATGTGTGTTGTAAAGAGTACTTTTATTTAACGAAATCATAAATTTCCACCGGTTACAAGCGAACTTAATGAATGGTCGGCCGAATAAATATCCCGAAAAATAAAATGAACTTAAACAACCAGGAAGTCGATGTATTTAGCGATAATGCCCAGGAAAGAAGTACTTCTTATCGGATAACATTTATATCCATAGCAAAGGATCATCTTTTTTTGGAAATCATGGAGACTTCTATTTCTAAAGGATCAAATTTCAAAAGAATCCTATTTGTTTCAAAGGGATCAAGTATCGTTTCGATTTCTGAATTCCTAAAGTAATTTACCATAATTGTATTTCGAGAGGAAGCTTTTTCGTTTCGAAGGTGTCCTATTTTGCTTCCAGTGGATCTCATTTTGTTTCAAAGTTATTAAAATATTTTTAAATGTCCAAAAGTAGTTTACTTCGATGTCTAGAATATGTTATCTTGTTTCGGAAAGGATCCTATTTTGTTTCGAATGGATCTCATTTGGTTTCATGGTAAAAATGTTTTTTTTGATTTTGCCACACTTGTCGCGCCACAATGGCCCTGGTAAACTGAGATACCCGAACAACAACGGCTGGTTTAAATACTTGTGCCAGCTTATGCTACATATGCCATTGTGGCTGCCGACTCTTTGTCTTCTTCACCATACCGAACAATGCTCTGCATGCGGTAGGCTGTTTTTGAAAAGAATGAAAACTTTAGACTGCTTTGATTGCAAAAATTGTGGTAAGAAATCTATTTTTGTGCTGCTCACTCGTTCATCATCAAAATTCTTTTAAATTCGATTCATCAAAGAAATCGATTTTTGAATCGAGATGCACCGGACCGCATTTAGAGAGACTGGCTCATTGGGTCTACTCACCCCCGACCATCTATCTTAAGTTTATCACTAAGTGCGACAGGTGTTATTACAAAGTATGACAGCATGGTTTACCACTTGCTATTAGAAAGAGCGACAGCTCTTCTGTTACACAGTGCGACAGCTTTTTTATTTTTCAATAAAAAGTGCAGCATCAGCATCTACTTTGGATTATAATTATGTTTCGCTGCAATTACAGCCAAAAGATGTTTATGTGAACATGTTGCATAGGAAGTTGGATTTCCAAAAGACCTCTTCCACAGCTTTTATTATCATTATCATTACTACTATAAATATCGGCGATTGGTCCCTTAATCAAAGCCAGAAAATGAAGTTCAGCTCAGTCTCACACCAGCTTTTATCACAGAAGAAATCTATAGAATTTTGACCCGACCTGTAGAGTTTTCCAATGCTGAATTGAGTATAATTTACTCTGTGGTACACTCAAACACCGATATTCGAAGACTGATTTAGTAAATGCTTCACAGGACCAAGAAATTCATACCCGAAAAGTTTATAGTCATCTCGATATAACTCTGCAAGCCTTACTACGTCTTCATGGGGAACTTGGGAATAATAATGTTCCATATCACGTGAGCCAGTGGCGTTGTGTATCGGCGGGAAATTTACATAGTCGTCAATTCCTGCCATTTTTAACACAAGGGTGGCGTCTTCTGCCAAGGTCTCTAAATTACCGATGACATCGTAATCAATGAAACAAGGATGGCACAGGTCTTTAAATTGCTGCCAGTGTGGGTTGCGTGGTATGTCTGCGGAGTAATACCGGATGAACTCAGGAAAACTTACATTGTTATCTTTATCAAATGATGGCTTCCGCGAAAACACCTTCATATCCTGCCCATACTCGACAGAATTCTCAGAACGAAGGCTATTTACGATCATTTTTCGAATATTTTTACTAAAGTCACGATTCTTCCCGATGAACTTGTCTTTGTAAGCAGAAAGGATCCGATGCAGTGGCTCCCGAACAAACATAAACTTGAAATAGTTCTTAAGTCGATGTGACTGTCCTTCCTCACTGTATTCTCCAAGGCGACGCCATAACCTTGCTTGGTGAACATATATTCCTTGTTTGAGTCCCTGAAGATCTGCCAACACCCTTTTCCACGTTGTGGAAGCCACTTTCGGAATGGAACAGAAAATGATTTTATGTGCATCTTCCACGATCACAAATCTAAGTTCTTGGTCGGTTAGTCTTCTGTTGGATGAATGTTTCTGGCAGTAATTTTTTATTGATCGTTTTCTAGCTTCCTGAGTTTCGCGAAGCGTTCGTGATGTTGATTTCCACCCATCAAACGTTTCCTGCAATGGGATAAACTAACCTACATTAATTTTGTTGCTTGGCTTGCTTGTGTATCATATTTTATTATAATATTACGAAATGGGTTCGTTCCTCTTGACCGGAGCAACCCACTTAACCAGAGCAACCCATGGCTAAAAACTAATTTAAGATGTGAACATCAAATGTTTCAAAGACGAAATCTTTGTTCTTGCACATCCATTTTAGAGATGAACCACCTACCTTTAGTCCCCTAGTAACTGATACTATCCGTGGTATTATGACTGGAGATAAAAAAAGAGAGAGAATTTGTTCATTAGTAGTTGTACACGTCTTAAGTTGTTTAGTTCCCAAAGGAATTTATTGATATATGACAGAATTGATACTTTGAATGATGCGAACAGTGAATTGTTGAACATCAGCAGTTATGAATATATTGTCATCATTGCTCAGTGGACACTTGGTCCGCAGCAAATAAGGATCAAGTTTTTATAAGCTAACCTTTATACAAGTTTATTCATAGTTCGTAATTGTCTCTCCTTTTTAATTTTGAGTTTTGAAAGAAGATCTCAATGGAGTTGACGGTTAGCTGTAACACGGCAAAAAAAAAATTAGCCTTAAGGAGTAAAAATGGCCAACATTTTAACCGTTAGTCGGAAGAGCCTTCACCCCATTGAGAACCTCTTGAAAGCCGAGTAAAAGAGGTTCCTCTTTTATGTGGTCACTGCGGGGAGTTTGTATCTAACTTTAAGAGTATAGCATCGTTTGCTGTAAAGGAAATGTGTGCTTTGAGAGGTCGGAGTGTTAAAAGAAAAAACAGGAGATTAAAGGAATAAAATTCAAAATGATCCACTCCTTTAGAACACGCTCAGATTTACCACAAGGAGGCGACTACTTACTCCCGATTGTATCTTCATATATAGATGTCAGTAGTTACCCTCAGGCTTGTTATTAGCATTTTACCAACAACAGTAAACCATATGTTTTCTTGATTAGCAAAAGAGAAAAACTTGAACGTAGACGTACTTTATTGAGTCTTTGGGTCAACAGAGTTGGGATATCGGCTAAAAATTGGGTTCCAACCTTTTTTAAAGAAGCCATAATGTAATGATTTCAAGTACACGAAGACTGTTTAAGATTAGCTAAGGTATTTCTTACCAAATTGTCCACCTCTTTGATCGAAGATCGTCACAGAACTCCAGTAAAATACTAAAGTTAGAGTAGGTACGAGGAGAAGGACAAAGACTGATTTCGACTTCATCATAGAAATCACTGAAACAAAAGCTCAAAAGTGGTTTTTCTGTAAGTTTAAACTCAAGATCCTAATGAAGAAACTTGTCTCAGGCGGATGATTTTGATTTGCATCATCGGAGTTTTCGGAGAAATACTGCCAAAGGGAAAAGGCCGTCTTGTTGCTAGGTAACTGACACAATTAACACAACCTACAAATTAAAAGGCACCATCTTCCTTGAAAACAAAACGTATTGGTCAATATCTCATTAACAGCTGTTGACACACCTCATTTATTCCGTAAAACCAACCGCCTACGTGGGGTTCATAAATTGTTTTCACCATAATCTGCTAAAGCTATTAACACATAAAGTTACATACATTGTTATCAGTTAAGATTAACTTTACCAGAATATGCATGAACTGTATGCTCACAGAGGTTGTGCTAGTTGTGACATGGTTTGGCGTCATTTGATTGCCCACTTAGATAAAAGTAGTTGGACAAATGAAAAAAAAAAGAGGGGAAAGCCACAAAATTTTAATTTAGTTATTGTTTAAGAGTCTCTTGGAAAAAATTGCCTTAAAACATCTCTGATTTTGTGGGAATTTGCTCAACAACTGAGTTATCTGGGAGACGGTTTAGAATAGGAAGCGCTTTAACCACTCACAATTTGCTGGTTGGACATTGCAAAAACATGGCAGTATATAATATATATAGTTTCCAAAATGTGTTTTTTAAAAACTACTCGTTAACCCCTGCGGTGAGGCATCATGCAGCTGTAAATGTAAACCCCCATTCCCCCTCCTCACTCAAGCTCAAACATGTGGGCCTTTTTTGGAGATTAAGTGACTAACTAACAGCTTTATTTGGCCCAAGCAGGTCGATGATGGACGCGTTTTGGCAAGCCTGGGTATATGGTATAACCTGTCTATACAATTAAGTTGGCATGTGGTGTATCGATAGGATTCGTTTATACGAAGGCAATTTAGAACTCAAGATGGTGCCCCTTGTTCCCAAAAGGATCTGTTGGTAGTTTGATGTGCACGTGTGAGATGGCGGGAATACATGTGACAATTTTTTTTTCCCTTTCTATTATTGCTGACAGAGCGCCTGCATTAGTTCCTGGCATTCGACATGATTTTAAACACAGGAGTCGATAAAAGATTTAAAACTGTTTGGTACTAGGCCACATTTATTCAAGTTTCTTTTTTCTGTTAGCAATGCGAGAATCGAAAGAATTAGTTCCGTTTCTCTTTATCCACTAGTAAGCATTAACGTTTGAACTAAGTGTATATATATTTATCTAGAGGATTTATCATAGCCAGACTTATGTTTCAAATTTTTTATCTTATACGTAAAAAGAAAAACCTGCAACAAAATTAAAAAAATATTAGTTATAAACTTGAAAAAAGAAAAATACTGCAGATGTAACTCAATAATCTTGACAACGAGACAATTACCCACAAAAATGCAGATTTACTCGTCCAGGGTGCAAATCTAATTGTAGTAAGTGCAAGTGCATTTTTCAGTTGCTCCTCGTGCAATTTAGAGCTATGAAAATGTTTTCTTTTTTTATCCTAATGTTTTTAAAATTTAAAAGATACAATATGAGGCCTTCGTTAAACAATATATTCATCCACCATCCAATGAACGAGTTAATCAATAAATCAATCGACCAATCGATCTATTAATCAATCAATCAATCAGTTAATTAGTCAAACAATCAATCAAATAATCAATCAATTGATCAATCAATGAATCAGTCAATTTTAGGATATGCAACGAAAAACAAAAAAAAATTGCAATCGAAATGAACTTAACAAATACCCATAATTGTCCCTAAGTAGTCATCACATGCAAGACATGGAGGAAAACTTACCAGACCTCAAAATTCGTTTATATGATAACAAAGTTGTGAGTCATACCTTTAATTTCTAATGAACTGTCCCTTACAGAAATTCATTGTCAGCAAGATTGTAATATATTCGAATACAGACGAATTTCAGCGCTAAATAGTGATGCACCAATTGCGCTTTGAAACTATGCAGCAACAATTACACATTAAAATGATCAAACGATGGTTCGGAGAGGCAGTTAGGCTGATTGAAAAAGACTTTCCATGAGGTAGACAAGAAATACGAGAAGAAACCCAACTCGGGACGATCGTGCTTGGTCTGTGCCGCCTGTAGGTGTAATTGTGGCCTTAGTTGTGGATGGGGCAACGGTGGGGTGAGTATTACATGCTTCCGTGTCACAGCATTCCACGCTGCAGGATTTGATCTCCGCTAATTGCCCTGCCCTTGCTTTTGCGTCTGCACAAACGTATTGTTGAGTTAATGAGCAGTTCACAACCGAGGCACTGGAGGAATTCACCTGAACAAAAGAACAGTAGTTATTGCAACACAACCCCTGGAGAAAGGCAAGTGACTGCTTGTAGAGGTTCGTTAAGGAAAGAAACTTCGAGATTTACAGTCATAAAATACAACCATCCCATAACGTCAAATTTATATTCTTTTGTTTTTTTTGGCGACAGCTATCTGATTACAGGTTCCTCAAATTACAAATTATCACTTTGATTTACCTTAACACCACAGCCAAAAACAAAGGTCTTGAATGTTTTCCCCAAGGCGAGTGCTTCAATTTGGGCTGTATAGCATGCATCATATGTCCGGTTTTCCCATAGCTGGGTCAGATTCTCTGGTGGAGGCTGAACATCACAGTCTACTTCTACCTGTTCGGACGCTTTGTCGCAGACTTTAAAAGTCTTCTCATCTGGTATGCATAACTTGCATGTTATCCCTCGGACTGAAAGAGGAGTTGAAACCGTGATGGTTAGGATATAGTCAGGATGTTCCAGTGAAGGGAAAGGCAAGGGTCTAAATCTAAAGAATGTGAAATGCATACCGGTACGCATTGCCCACAAAATCTGCACGCTCAAAGCCCTATCCCACACCCCCAAGGAGCGCAAAAGCACTAGAGACAAATGCCCCATCTCTAACACCGGATTGTGCTCACGACGAAATGCAGTATATCAGCTCACGTGTTGCAGCTGCGATCAACGATATAGACACGACACGCTTCATCCACGACCGCGTAAAAAAACATCTAAATAATGAAAACTCGTCTATGAAAAAATACATCTATTTCTGCCAGAACAAAGACTATAAAGGCATTGATGTCAAGATTATTATGAGCGAAAACGACCCCGTTAATCTACGCCTTTATGAAGCGTTTTACATTAGAAAGTGCAAGCTTACATTCAATTCCCGGGAGGAATGTTGTGAATTCGCAGACCTTCTATTGTAGTATTTTATTTTAAAGACCATTCTTTTAGTACTTTTAGAGGTCCTTTGTCTAGAGACAGTCTATCATTGGAGCCTTGTGTTCCATTCACAGTTTATTTCTCTAGCTTTCATACAGAAGTCACATCTTTTACACATTTCACCCTCCACTTTGTTTGCAGATATGTAGCGCGCCCGGAACATTTTCCTATCCCTGATGATGCCGTTGATCGGCGAAAGCTTGGATTTTAGATTTTACTTTTTAAACAACAGTTTAAGGCCTCATTAGAACAGTTTTACAAAGTGAAAAGTGTCGCCAAAAAGGTAGGTTCGTCCTTCGTAGAAAATGTTTCAAAATACTGAAGATAGGAATGCTTCGGAAGCTTCACACATATCTAGCAAAGTAATAACTAATTTTTCCCTGCTTTAGAGAAATTTCGATTCAATATAATTTTTTGAGAAACGTGATACAGTTTTTCTTATACAGCACCAAAATTTTCAACATGTATACAGTTGTGGATATCAAATGAATGATAAAAGAAAAATATGCGAATTGGTTTTGAGAATCTTGACCGTGTTTTATTCTTAGCAAGCGTTAATTTATTATTAAAACATAGATGTTGAACATCACAAATCTCGCCACGAGAACAACGTTGGGCGGCTAGGGAATTTAAAATATTTGTACACATGCGATGCAAAGGATTTCGTTTAAGAAAGTAACGATAAAAGTGAAAGTAAAGGGTTGAACTTCAAGTTTATCATGAGTGAGAATTCAAATCAAATTTCAGGGCGCTCGAGAAGCTTAGAAGGTGCTCCAATCTATATCGGTTATTTTTGTAAGTTGTGGAACCGTCGACGAATAAATAAACAAATAATTTTCTTGCGGTAGTTTCGGAGATATTGATAAAAATAATTGAATTTAGTTTTAACCGTGTCTTTTTCTGAATTTATGATATTTCTTTACGTTTCGCTAACAGGCGCATAATCACGCAAGTGTATGACTGAAATGGTGTGATCAGCGTGGCGTGAAATTATTGATTTTTGATTGGTGGAGTTTGTGTGGCATGACAACATGTGCCGTAGATGTTGAAGTTTATCACAATTTCCTTTTTTGGCGATGAACATGATCTCTTGTACGATTTTACCAAAATTGTTTCAATTTTTTATCACTATCAAATTGAAACTTGCCTTGGAATAGGATAATCTTTATTCCGACAAAAAAGCTTTTTTCAAGAGAAAGAACAATTTCTGCGAATGTAGAATGCGACGTATAGTATAATATAAAGCAGTAGCTGTACGAGGGTCGCAATATTGTATAGCTTACGAATAAATGTTTTTCGAAGGACACATTTTGTTACTTTGATTGAAAACAACAGCCTCCCTGAAAAAAAAAACTATGCTTTCTACGGAGGAATTCGCAGAATTCGTATCCCGTTTACTCCACAGCGTCATCTATTAGACTATGAACGTATCCGTTAGTACAGAGACGATTTCCAATTTTCAGGATATTTTTCGCTCCGTAGCCACCAATTCAAATAACCATTCAAAGAAAGAAAAATAGATAGGCCTAATTTCAATCGTCAGCTTAAGTAATCATACTTTTCTTGTAGAGTTTAGGAGTCTAGTGTTGAAGTGCACAAAGGCTGAATACAGCGTAAACATGTAAATAACATTGGATGAACTCACCTCCTGGTAAAGAGCACAACATCAAAGCCACCACAAAGGCGATGGAGTAATTCATGCTGATGATTTAGTAAGGAGACCTTGAAACAGAGATTATGGCAAGCTTTCTTCGCCTAAAAGTGTTGTAATCCACCCTGTAGGTTGTAATGAGCTGAAATATTCAAAATCGAAATAATCTTATGAATAAACAAATTCTTATTGCCCGGATGCACGGTGAATGGCTATGATTCGCTACTCTAAATTTTACTAATGGAGAGAAAAAGAAACATTGATCACGCTGACTCATTAAGAACAAGGGAAACTTTATTAAAAACACTGGTCTTGATGATATTTCACTCAAAATTATTCCCTACCTTACCTTGACTTTCACTAAAGAAGTCAAAGCTTTGGTAAAAAAGGAAAAGGTTGCTCTTAGTGTGCTATTACACAAATCACATAAACGCAAGTACATTTCGTGACTTATGCACCTAAATATAAGTGATGTTTTCAAACTTTTCAAAACATCACCAGGACGAGAGAGGGGAGGGGGGTAGAGAGGGGATTCCAGCCTCTTCAAACGTAACTCTCGAGGGTCATAGAGCGAGAGTTTCCCTTGCGTGTTTAAACTGAAAATATCAAAAAAGGTTTGATTCTGCCGGGAAAGTTGTGAGAAATTTGAATGAGGGTACGGTGCTTGGCTTAAAGCAGTCATCAGAGGGTCCCCACTTACCCTTCCCTGTTCAAAACGCTGTTTTACCTTATATGTTTGTTGTTGTTTCACGTCAGTGAACACAATATGCTAATATGAATAAGACTTGTCTTGGCTTGACAAAATTTCATGTTTGAGGTTATAAAAA